CACCTCTCCTTCATTGAGCAGTGGTGCAACAACTGGCGCATCAAAATTAATGAATCAAAATGTAAACATGTAACTTTCACTCTTCGACGCAGATCCTGTCCGCCAATCCTTTTTAATTCAATTCCTCTTCCCTACTCAGACACAGTCCGATACCTTGGCTTCCTTCTGGACAAAAGACTGACTTGGAACCCACATACGAGACTTAAAAGACAAGAGCTTAACCGACGATTTGGTCAGCTATATAGACTACTAAACAGAACATCTCATCTCTCAACAGAAAACAAATTATTAATCTACAAGACCATACTGAAACCTATCTGGACCTACGGACTTGAGCTGTGGGGGACAACTAAATCATCGAATATCAAACGCATCCAATCCTTCCAGTCTAAAGTCCTTCGAACAATAGTCAATGCTCCATATTATGTCACGAACAAGACCCTACACCATGACCTTAACATCCCATATGTCCATGACATCATCCCATCCAGATTCTCCAACTTTCACCAGAACCTCATACATCATCCCAATCCTCTAGCCCAATCCCTATCCAGCTCCGAGCATCCATACCATCCCCCTCGAAGGTTGAAACGGCAGTGGCCTCGAGATCTTTTGTAAATATGCCTTTGGAGTCCTGGCAATGGCCAGCTTCTCCACTCATGTCCTGAGCGTCTGTGGCTCTAGTGCCCTCTTTCAGTCTCCACTGGCTTCTAATACTAGTGATGCGGCTGGAAAAGTGGCGCTGGGATCTTCCGGAGTCTTGCTTTGCCTTCCACGTGTGGGGGAAAAAGCCTGGTTCGGAGATTCTTGGGCGAATGTATATATTGTATATAGTTATGATTGTGTTTAGAAGTTTTTATTTTATTTTATTTGTTTATTATTATTATTTTTTCTTTTCTTTTTATTTATCTTCTTCATCAGTATTATTTATTTACTTCTTATATTTATATTTATTTCTTTATTATTTGTATATATTGTATGAATGAGAACTTTTAGCCCTAATGCTTATAGCCCTCCAGCAGTGGCTGCATGTATTATTATTCAATAAATAGATTAAAAAAAATATAAAAAAATTGCCAACTGCTGTGCCAGAGATGGCCAAATTCTACTCTGAGTACTGAGTACCACAAGTATTTTACTCAAATACTGATCTTTTTTGCGTACCAAAGAATTTAATTACTACTTCAGTTGATGTAAAAAGATTAACTGAATTAGTGATTGAATTCCTGTTAATGATAATTGAGTAAAACACAGTCCTGCAATGCAGACTCGCTGTTTTATACCCATTTGCACTTTGTTCATTTAACTTAGTGCAGGTTTGGTTTTGTTCAATATTATGCAGTCCATTATTGTTCGTTTATAATCCTTTGATTTTTTTTTAACATATGTTAGTTAAGCTTCATTCTAAGTTTTTGCCTCAAATCGTGAGGGAGCTTAACACCTAGAATCAATACAAGTGTATTTTTCTCCATCGTAAAATACATTAATTATTTTTTGATTGCCGCATATTGCAAATAATCTAATTTCCATATGTCCTTTGTATCCATTGAAATAGAAATACATCACATGTGCTGTTATGTAAAGTATGCGATGTATTGAATATAGGACTCAGTTCACACCTGTCGAGCGATGATATTTATACCTTTTTGTATTTATTCCGAAAGGTCCGAGCTGGGCGGGTGTCATATGCTTTGCCTCATTAATGCGCCTTTCGTGTCGGTTTGCAGCGGGGCTGACAGTAGCTTTGCATATTGGCTGCGGTGTTGGGAGCATTGTCATGTTGCGTCAGGAGAATGTCAGTCTTTATCTCCTGTTTACTTTTATTATTTTTCACACGGTCAGTGCAATCAATCTCCATCTGTATCTAGATTTATTTCCCTTACGATTGCTTTCAACTAGAAAAAGGTCCGACTTGAAGGCTGAGCACGATTTTGCCTCATCGTGGAATCCACGTTTTTCCTGTTGTTTTTTTTCTATTCATGAAATTTATAACTTTATTTAGATGAATATACAATCAGTATATATAAAGAGATATATGTAATGACATGGAACGACTTGTTGATGTACTAACCATTGATAAGAATCTGATGAATGTTACAGAAAGTCTCTAAGCTACTTCCTTTTCAGACGCCGAGGGAAAACTCGATCAGGGATTGAAAGGAAAGCTAGATTAGAAAGGAGTGGTTTTGCTGGATTGGGCCAAATTGGCTACATGTAACCATTATGAATGGTTTTATTTATGACGGATTAAGGTGCATTGAGGATTTTGGATTGTAAGGATACCAGAAGAAGTCTACGATTTAGCGGTGGTCAAAAGTGGAGCTCATTTCATAAACTATCACCACATTCACCTATTGTGTCTATCACATTAGTCTATGATAGACATGAATGCAGAAATAGAAAGGGGTGGGGAAGCAACATTATAATTAAATTTTTAAATGTTATCAAAATTAAATGAAACTTCGTCGTTAAACTAAAATAATTAAAGGTTGTCGGAGCACATTGGATGGAGGTGACTGTTGCCCAATTTCAACAAATATTTTAGCATGGTCTTGTTTAATTTATAACTTAGTTGATCCCTTAAAAATGTAAATAAGATTTTAAAAAAGAGAGGAAGAGACAGTGAGAAGAATGACCGAGACGAAATGACCTTCTGACATATGGTAGCGTCGCGAATTTTTATTAGTGTTGTAAATTTCTTTAAGATTGGGGTCGATCTTAAGGTTATCTCCCTAGATTATATAGAATTCGCCAATGGATTTTTGTTTACAAATACGACTGATATAATCATTTTACTTTTCATATAAATCTATTCATGTTATCAATTAAAATCAATTAGTTTTTTATTTCATTTATTTGTTATGACAGGTAGGTAGATGGAAAGTGGGATTTGAATAAAAATTATGAAATAGTATTGAAAAACTTAAATTATTATTATTGTTTCCGGTTAAAACATTTTACCTGTTTTTTCATTTAATAGAATATCTGGGAATTTCATTATTATTAAACTACAAAATATTCTCAAATTAAAATAATTTAACTTTATTAAAGTCGAAAAACAATTATATTACTTGTTATTTGTTACCTCCATTTATCATTTTTTTTTTTTTTGAGGTCCTTTAGTCACTTAAAATTGTTATTATAATGTAAAATAAATTGTGTCTTAGAGAATTTATTAAATTGTTCTTCTATAGTTTTCTTTTCTTAGTCTAATCAATGTTTTCAATATATATTTTTTTAAACTCCAAATAAAATGATTTTTTTTTTAATTCGCATTTTAAGACGTGAAATATATAATTTACTGTTTGCAAAAAAATGTATTACTATTTTTTTTTTTACGTAGTAACTATTTCATTTTGTATTATTAATACTCAAAATAAATTACTGAATTAAGTAGGTCTCTTTTAACTATGTTTTATATTATAGTATATAGGAATTTCTTTAATTACCAAATTGGTTGCTTTTGAATTACCAAAATTCTTTTCGGATTATAAATTACAAATAATTTTACTTCAAACAATTTAAATACGCGGTAATTAAATTTATGTGCTTTTTAATACAAAAAATAGACTTTATATTTTAATTAATAATTTAAATAAAATTCAATAAAACGGCGTTTTCCTGCTTTTATAATTTTTTAATTAAGATTGTTTTTTCTCCCCCTCAATAAACTTAATTTGAAATCCCGAAAAATCTCAAGCTAAGGGTGTAAAATGCTATGATGTAGTCAGTTCTAATATGTAACTGTGAGACCTGGACACCAACCAACACCCTAGAAAAAACTGTTGAAAGATTTGAGAGAAAAATATTCCTGACGATAACGAACGATTTTGGGATCAGAGTACTAACACATGGAGAAGAAAGACCAATAAAGAACTACTTACAGAAACTGGTCAATCAATATCCCTTGATATGAAGGTTAAGATGGGCGGGGTAGCTCGTAGCAACCCATCTGGAAGTATCTACTTAGCAATGAATGCCTCAATAGAAGGCAAAAGACCACGTGGAAGGCCAAAAAAACAAAAAAAAAACAGGTGGATAGATAGAATCCATAATGATGCAACAGAGCTGCGTGCAGATAAATGGAAAGAAATAGCCCAAGACAGGCAGAGATGGAACATGTTAAGGCGACAAAAGATCTGCATAATCTGTAATTCCAACAAAAAAAATAAATAAATGAAAAAATAAAATTAAGATTGTCGTTGTTAAAAAATTATGATTTAACACAAAATAAAATAAAACCAAAACCAATTACTGACATACAATAATAATTTTCAATTTACAGAAGCTAAACAATATTCAATATTTTTCTCTTAATTAGATAGTCATTGTAAATATTGAAAAAAAATCATAATACAACGAAATAAAGCCAAAACTAATTGCTGATACACAATAGTAATTCTTGAATTGATGCTGGATATTAAATGAGTGAGATCAGATTCAATACAATTTTTATTGAATTTGATTTCATTCCTGTAACATTGGGCCTCAATTGAAGAATGATTAAAATTACTTTTGCTCAGGAGGTCTTTTGGAAGTTGATCCACATCCGATCTGTAAATATATCAATCGATAAATACATCTACTTTAATAATTATCCGAGCTTGTCTTTGTTAATATAAATAGTTGAATTAAAATATACATTCAATGGTAGTTATATAAATACAGTAGCTCCAAATATAAACCCGAAGAGATATAACCATGAATACCAATGATTACGGATGCCACCCACCTCATCAGTGCCATCCGCCTTAGAATCTATTAATAGCTATGTAAATTTTATTTTCCAGTGAAAAGTTCCAAGGAGGAAGGCATTGGTGAATAAATGAAGGCAAAGAGGAAAAGATTTATATCTGTGAATCAGGCATGCTCTTTCCGAACTCGGCGCTCACTAATCGAATGCCTAATGCCCCCGTCAGTCCCTGATGCATCATTCAAGGTGCGGGTTCGAGGAACGCACGAGGTGGCGAGAGCTATTTTGTTAAACGGTCAACCGGCGTATGGATATTTCCAGGTTGCGGTTGGTCGAATATTCCTGGAGGGGTGGAGGAGCGAGGGGCCGAATACCAAAGGCGATATTTGTGGCCCCCAACATGAGGAATTTGTAATAACCCACTCTGGCTGGCCACGGATTTATAAGAAATACGACCGCCTCGTCTCCTCCCCTTCCGTCGATCCAATCTTTCCAATCTTCGTCCCAATGATTTCTCTCTTATTGCACTATACATAATTTATAGAACAATATTGCCTTAGGTACATTAGTGTCCGGTTAAACCATCACAATCATATATCCATTTGACTGAAGTATTCTACGATTTTATTGAAAGATGTATTTAAATATTATTATTTATTAACTCGGGTTGGAGTTTATTTGACTGGAAAACTGATTTAAATCATTATTTACAAAAAATTTACTATACTAGAAAAATTCATTACAGTTTCGATTCTATAAGTAATAGCTTTCCGAAGAGGAATTCCTAATATGTATTGAGAAGTGCCTAGAAGGGAGTTTCACGGTGCAAGATCACCGCTATAAAAATCTAGTCCGTGGTACAGACCATTTTTATCAAATTACTTACATCCACCTAAAACTTCGTAAATAGCTACTACTATTTTGTTTACGAAAATTCTTGGAATTGGGAGATTTTTCATTCTGAAGATCGCCAAACTTTGTCTATTTAATTAGGTACTAATAACTCGTAAATATCCATTTGCTTTCCACTTGGATTCGTAAGATAATTTGATAGTAAAATCGCGAAAAAAAGTGACATATAAAAATATTGTTCCTTTTTGCCTATATGTTATTTTTTGGGATGTAGATCACACCAAACAGCTCAATATTTTTGAAGGCCAAATTTTTTCTCAATTTGATGATCTAATTATCTTACCGGCCAAGTGGAATGAATGTTTGAAGTGAAAAGTTTCAAATCAAGAAACAAGGAGAAAATATAGACTAGACCACGATAATTATAATTTTAAGGAGAAACTGAATACATATTCATACTTATTTAAACCCACATGGGCATACTAATCACAGATATACGGAATCGCTAAAAAGACCCGGCTACAAAAACTCGGCTACAAAAACTTGAAACCTTCCAACCAAAATTATTGCGATTCATAAAAAAAAAAAAAAAACACCTTGGTACGTGACTAACTAAATTTTACATACTGACCTCCTCCTTCCAAAAGTCCAACAATACATAACGACCCTCTACCAATGATTTTATACAAATTTAAACGAAAATTTCAGCAGATTAATATGAGACCTAGCACCAGCTGACATACCCCTGAGTACGAGGAGGTGACTAAAAAGACGTTCGATGAGAGATTTCCTTTCTTAGACAACCTAAGTAATGTCATTATTTCTCATATTTTAGCACATTTGCTGATTTTCGAAACAAGATGACAGCTGTAAATAAATATTTAAACACACAAAATATATATATATGCGATATTGATATGCGACATCAACCTTTACTTGCAAGTTTTTGTTAGAAGAAGAGAGTAATAAAATTTCTTGTAACTGGAGAGGGAGTTTATCTACGATAGACCTTCGGGAGAATTGGTACCCTTGTATGTGTTCCTATGTGCTAACTGTCGATTGTCACGCGAACCTGACTGGAGTCAAATTTTGAAACTCACTTCGCATTTATATCATCTTTTATAAATATATTTCATATTAAAATAATAAAGAATTTTTTATTCATTACTAGGAAGTAAAAACTAAATTAAACCGATATTGATTTTGAAATTTTGGAGACTCGGGCAGGCACTTAAGGTATACCATTTTGCACAACAAAATATACATTCTACCTCCAGCGTAAGAGAAGTTTTTATAAAAGATAGTTCTGGTATTAATTAATGTTTGATTATATAGTTTACAACTTGAAATCGTAAATCGCGGCCTCTTCTATTACTGTTAGATGTAACTGTGCCCTCAAAAACTAAAATGGTTTCCCACCTATGGTTTTTGTTAAAAAAAAAAAAAAATTACATCCATAAACTTCAATTTACTATTGTTACAGAATAAAATAACAAAAAAAGAGCATAAATTCCATCATATAGATTTTGATTGTATTTTCTCATAATGACTTTTCACTTAAAACTGTGAATATTGTTGGGAATTGTAATGGATCTTTCGTTAAGTTGTGAATTATTTAATATATATTTTTCGTGCAATATTACAATTGTAAATTGAGCATATATAATAATATCAAGTAGTTTGGCCTTTTAAATCTTTCTTAGCAGTTGCTTATCAAATCTTCATTCTCTGGTGTTTTATTCAGGTTTCCCAATCCAATGTTAAAAATTTCGCTTGCCCAACAAGAGGATGTGGAGGTGTTGACGGACTGTCGGTTTAAATGTATTCGGTTTGTTGATAGTTTGTGTAATTGACGGTCCAGACAACTGTGGGTTGGCTTCGCTCCAGACTGTAAATCCTCCATTGTTTTTTTGCTGAGCAGTATATTGGACGTGTTTAAATCGCTTGTTAGTTTTGGACTGATGGAATGCTATCCACTTTTGACCGAATCATCAAGTTAATTGGAAATGCTTAGTTAGGTCGTTTATTTTACTTCCTTTTGGTACAAAAAAAGTATGTTTTCAATGTTATTTTGATTATCAGTACCAGAAATTAAAAAAAAATCTTGTTAATTCAGAGCCTAAATGACATTTTATTTTTTTTTTTTATAAACTGTTTTGATATAACTAAAATATATATTTTCATCTTTTCCTTTTATCTCAGAATCAGAAAAAAATCCTTTTTTTAAAAAGTTCTTTTGATTTCTCCAAAAAGTCAGTCTATACAGGACTTTTATTCTTAGCTACTCAAACAAACGACACATTAGAATCAATTAGTTTATGTATGATAAAGTGTGACTGGAATCTAAGTGCAATAACCTTTTATTTTTCATTTAACAGAACTTTTTTAAAGGAACTAAATCAATAAAACCTTAATGTTCGTTATGTTTCCGATTTGGCCGAATCCTGTTACCTATCCTTCCGCAATAAACTTCAAAACCATCCCAACCCTCTCGTTTCTAACCTTGCTTCTTCTTTAATTCCAGATAATCCTCCGAAGCGTCTGAAAAGAAGATGGCCTTATGTAGATATATTATTAAAATGGTACCAGTGGGTAGTTTCTCAACAACTGTTTTCACGTCATTATATCCATTTGTACAAATTTACTTGATTTATTTTTGAACTGATATTCGTAGATGTTGAAAGATACAGAAGAAAGAATAAAAGATGAGAACAGTAATTTAAATCATTGATTTTATATATCTAGTAAGGACGTACAAAAAAAAAAGAAGAAAATCTGGTATTTGTGTATATTGAAGTAATTTTAGATCCAACTCCTGTTGTCATATTGATTTTTACCATACGTTGCACATTATAAATGGCATCCGTATAAAATATCAGAAAATAGTCCACAACATTCCATGTCTAAACATAATCTATTTTCTCTTATTTTCGTGGATGAAATATTGCAGCGGTCTGTCCGATCAAGAACCGAAATAGGTATATTGCTAATAAATCAGTTATTTTTAGGAGGTTTTTGATTCACCATCTTCTTCAATATAGATGTAGTACTTTAAACCCATTAAAAAAAATCAATTAATAAAATATAGTAATTATTATCAATTTTTTTATTATCATGCAATAACATAATACGAAAATGTTAGAGACCAGATATATATATATATATATATATATATATATATATATATATATATATATATATATATATATATATATATATATATTATATTAAGAGGGCAACGTATTTTTTCTTTTTACTGGTTTCATTTTTGGATTCTACGTATCTTGATAAGTAAAACGTCAAATGGAGAGGTTATTCTTCTTCAATTGTAACGTTCCATTGTTGAAAATAAACCATAACATATTGTAAAACTTCTTTCTGACTACAGCACTGTCTGCTCCTTCCGTCATGTCAGCTCAATTGAGAATCAGTTTGTAAAAATCTTCTTGGCCAAGATACGACCTGCACGAGTATACTATCTTCTACAAAAACAGTGGTTCTACAGTTTACAGTGGTTTACTTATGTGCTTTAAGCGAAATGGTATGAATTAACGTGCTTTAATGAATGGATCATGAATTATCAATTTACAAATATATGAACAAGGTATTCAAATCCACTCCAAACTAAAAAACCTGTATAACTGATCCGGGTCGTTTCTTAAATACACGATTTATTTATTTTATGATATTTATCTAATATATTTGTTATTTTTTTCAGATTGAGACACGACAAAAACGGAGGGGCGTGGTGCCCTAAGAACACGGTGACGAAGGAAACCTATGAGCACTTGGAGATAGACCTCGGCCGGCTTACGGTCGTCACCGGGACAAGGACTCAAGGGAGGTTCGGCAACGGCCAGGGCCAGGAGTTCGCCGAAGAGTTCTTCCTCGATTATTGGCGCCCGGGGTTCACTAGGTGGCGTCGCTGGAGGAACCGTCAGGGGAAGCAGGTCAGTTCTCTTGTTTATTGTGGATTTAGCAGCTTTAGAATGCTTAAATGTATCAGATACTTAGCCTACAGATCTCAAGGAGTGATGAGAGAAAAATAAGAAGGAAAGGTAAAATAATCTCAAGGATCTCAAAGAGAGTTTGGTAGAAAGGGAAAAATAATATGAAATAATGGACATAAAGGGATGCGAAGAAAGAAAATAAAAAAAATAAAAATAGAGACTTACAGGTGTGTTCAGTAGGTATCTATTTGAATAGTGTGAGTCTCTATTTTTATTCTTATTTATTTATTTATATTATTTGTTGTCTTCCTTCACATCCCTTTATGTCCATTATGTCATATTATTTTTCTTCCAATTAAATAACTTCCATAAAATAAAACCGAAAACTAAACCCTTGACATCATTGAGATTATTTTCCATTTTCTTCCAATCTCTTTTGTAGATCTGTAGGAGTATATTCATAATTGTATATATTATATTACAACAATTTTTACCGTCTATTTACTAGTTTAAGATCTGGTTACTTAGCTTACTCTGTTTATATAGCTTATTGCTCTTAATATTTCAATGTACTTACTGTTTATATCTTCAATAATACCTTCAATTCATCTTGTTTATAATTTTTATCTAAATATTATGTAACTTCAACAATTTTCTATATCCTTTTGAATCTTATCCATTCCAGCCATATAAAAGACCATCAAAGTCGGGTCGAAACGTTGGCTTTTAATAAAATAGTTTTGCCACTATTTTTGTCTATTTATGACTGCTACTCGGGACCATCTCCTTCCTCTATTTTTTGCTAGTTTCGTGAGGGAAGTGCAAGAAGCTGAAAATATTTCGAGTACTGTTTACGGGTTGGAAAATCGTATGATAATAACATTTATTAATTTCAGTGTAATAACTTGAGATAATAATTTCTTATTATAATTAATATTAACATAACAGTGAAGGACAAATTAAAAGGTACTCCTATTACTTTTTCAAGTTACTAAGTTGATAGAGTATAGATTTTTTTTCTCTGCAATTCTATAAGAGTTCAATTAAATTCATGTCACATGCACGCAGATTACTTCATTTTCGAAATTGCTTCCTCGGTAACTATTCGTTCCTTCAGCTGTTTCGCAATTTAAAAAAATAATTACATGAGCTTTTGCATCGCCCTTAAACTCCTTTTTTTTCAGAAAGTGTTTGATGTGGAGCATGTGTTGAACCCAGTTGTGCCCTACATCTGATACTCCTTGCTATAATTATAAACCGCTTTGACAAAAACACAGCTGCAGTAACTCGTTTTTCTTTTTAATCTTTTTGTTTTACTTTATTCTTGAAAAGAAAATTTCATTCTAATTCTTTGAAATGGAGTGGTTTAACCAGTCAGTCATCAAAAAAAAAAAAAAAGTTGAAGTATAATTAAATTTGAATATTTTTATTCTGTTCATTATTCCTAATTTTGGTGTCTTGAGGTTTTCATTTTTATACTCCTAAGTTAAGTTCATATTCCACCAATATTTTATTTCTTTTACATTATCATTATTGACAAAGTTTCGGCCAATTTCAAGTTTAGAAATTTTGTTATTTTTTTTTAATTACTTCTTTATTGAATATTAATACATCCAGCCACATTAAAAGGCATTAATATTAAGGCTACATGATTCATTCAAACAATATGTACATAAAATTAATATTTAAATAATAAAGAAAAAGAAATATAAACAAATAAAATAAGAAACTTATTTAATCACATTTACAGTGACAACATTTATTTTTAAATAAAAAACTAGTTAATCTATTGATTACTATTAATATTGATTATTTATTAATAATTGTACATAACCTTTACAAATTTTGTATAAATTTCATTAATACCTTAATTGAGTCCTCAAACTAAACATTCATATTCACTACCATTTTCCCTAATCTGAGAAGAATTACATTGTCCTAATATTTTAGCGTAAAATTTTTAGGATTTCTCCATCTCTATGGAGATACTGACTTTTATCGTCCTGTTGTGGACAGTAAAAAGGAGAGGAGTTTTTTATTTTATTATTTTATCTAAATTATGGTTTAAATTTTACTTTTTATTTAGTTAATATATTATATCCAAATATTTTTTATTACATTACCGTAGAAAGTCTAAATCTGTCTGGTTGTTTCCGGAACTTCAAAATTTTAGTAATATATATCTACTCGATATTTTTTTCTTTTATTCTCATTTTTTTTTAATGTATTAATTGTACATTTTTTATATATATATATATGCTTGTATGTAAATTTTCGTTTCAGATTGTCAGTTGATGTGTTATGCATTTGATTGCGGTTTTGTACATGTCGTTTCATTATTTTTGATAACTAAGTCAGTCCCTCTATAAATGACTTCGGGGAAACCCTAAACTATTAGAAGAATTTAATAATTCTCAGATTAAGGAAATAAATATGGATATTTACTAGGAGGACTCAATTAAGGTAATAATGATATTCATATTGATGTGTAAAGATTGCATTTATGATAGAAAAATTTTTTTTTTTTTTTTTTTTTTATATTTGTTTATTTAGAAATATCACATTCTGTCACATCAAGGACATTTGTAATAGTGTTCAGAGAACACACTCACACTCTATTTACAATAAATAAAAAAAATAATAATAATACAGAAACTTAATAATAATAAATACAATAAAATAAAATAAAAATAAATACAATAAAATAAAATAAAAATAAATACAATAAAATAAAATAAATGTATATAAACAAAAGAACTAACCTAATCATACACACTCGGGCTTGAGTGGAGGATCTGGCCATTGCCAAAACTCCAATAGATGCTTATTTACAGAAGGTCTCTGGGCCACTGCCGCTTCAACCTTCGAGGAGGATTGTAAGGATGGGTGGTGCTGGATAGAGATTGTGCAAGGGGATTTGGATGATAGGTAAGGTTCTGGTGAAATTTGGAGAATTTGATAGAAAATTAAAAAAGTATAATCATCGAATGGTGTAATAACTGGAGAATAAAAATCTATTCCAATAAATCCCATCAAATTACCTTTACCCTTCGTAGTAAACCCACAACTTCTTGTCTTACAATGTCCTTCAATGATATTCCACCTGTTCCTGTTAAACAAATCCGCTACCTAGGACTCCACTTGGATAAATGTCTCACTTGGAATCCGCATACTAGACTGAAACTACAAAAAACTGCTCGACGTTGCCGACTGCTCCAACACTTACTACACAAACGCTCTAAACTTTCAATTAATTACAAAAGACTCATCTATTTAACCATAATAAGACCTATATGGACATACGGAGTTGAGCTTTGGGGTTCTACCAAAACATCGAATTCCTATCGGATCCAATCCTTACAATCCAAAATCCTTCGTAAATTCCTTAATTTTTTTCATATTTTGTCACAAATAAAACCATTCATAAAGACCTTAATGTTCCATATGTCGCTGATTTAGCCCGAGCCAGATACCTATCCTTTCATGATAAACTCCAGTCCCATCCAAATCCACTTGTTTCCAGTCTTGCTTCTTCCTCGATTCCTGATAATCCCCCTAGGCGTCTGAAAAGAAGATGGCCACGTGATCATCTCACCTAGAATTAAATAGGGAGTGCTACCACTGGGCAGTATCTCTTCAAGTCTGTTCATGTCATTATTTCCAATGTGTGCATTTTTACTAGTTGTATTGTTTATACAGTTGTAAATTTCATTAAATAAATAAATTAAAAAAATAATTATCGATGTAAAACATAAATTACTGAAATAATCAGTAGATTAACTTGTTATGTATAAGTAAATAAATGTTTTCATTGTAAATGTAATTAAATGGTAATCTAATAATAACAACAATTTAAAGACTGGAAAATTGTCCAAGCGTTGTCAATAATGATAATGTAAAAGAAATAAAATGATGGTGGAATATAGCCTTAATTTATAAAAATCTAAATATGAATATTTAAAATATAGTCTTTAATAATTTTTTTTAAATAAAAAAACATTCATTTGAATTTACAATTAATGAAATATTTTATATTACTTTAATTTATAATTGTTTGAATTTTCTTTTACCTCTTAACCTATCGAATACTATTATTTTCTTAATAATATCACTTGTGCCATATATGGTATAATAAATGATGATCAATATTAATACAATCTTCAGCATAGCTCAATAAAGAAAAAATACAAATAAAAAAACTGACTGCCTGGTTGACGTCTACTAACTATGATTGAGTCCAACAAGGAAGTCATTGTAGCATTCATTGCCGGCGAGGCATATTGCTCCAATATAAAAAGAACTCAGCTTCTTCCTGGAACATCCGGCTGGCTCCCTCTTGGATGGAAAACAGCTACCATTCATAATTGAATTAAAAAAAAATAAAGTACACATCAAGTTTTAAATTCTTCGTTCGTAAAGTCATTTTTTTTTTAATTTAAATTCTATTCCAGAAGTTGAAAATATAAATAAGCTGTATCAGTTCGAAGATACAGTCCGTGGGAATCAATTGTATGTTTCAAAAGAAGCAAATAATGTTTTGTATTTTTTTTTCTTTGAAAGATTGTCATACAAACATATTTTTTTCTTCCTTTCCTTAAAAAAAAATCAAACAAAATAAAAATATATATTTTTTTAACACTATGAAGATTCTGTTTATACCCAAATACTCAAAGTGAAAACTTCTTCGGCGCTTTTTGCACTTTTTTTGCGGAGAGTAAGAATAAGATTGAGCTGTCAGATTTCCGATGTGTAACGTTCGGGTAAGGTCGACTAATTGAAATTTTTTGGAAATTAAAATATTTTTGAAATTTTTTAAAAATCTCTTTAAATCCTTATTTAATGAACCAATATCATAATTCATTGAGAAATAATTGAAGTCTAATACTTTTTACTTTAATAAAATATACCTAAGGTCACTCTTACAACGGAAGAGACAACGAAGTACAAGTTACAATACGTTGAGGTAACTTTTGTGATATTTGGATGCAAGTATAAATAATAAGTTATCATGCAATTGACGAAAGATTCTATCTTTTTTATTGACAGTGTAACATGAAAATAATCGATAGTGAATAAATTATAAAATTAAACTACTAAAATCATTAATATACAAACAATTGGTATTTTTGACTAATGCTTATTCAAAAAAGCATACATCATAGAAGAAAATTAAAATTTAGTAAAATGAAATTCCAGCTACATAAAAAATAATCATTTAACAACAATAGTAAAAAAATAAATAGTCATATCCAAAGGTCTATTGTATTCACCATAATTGGTCTACAGGCTTGATGATGCTCTGGATATTATAGACTATAATTTGTTTTAACGTGAATTTAGATCATGGCAGTGGAGCACATTAGATTTAAGGTAATTACAAAATTTATGTAACAATGCAATTCTAACATGTTTTGTAACAAGCATTATTTTTATTTAACTCATTTTTAGCCATGAATTGATAAGGAAGCATGGGGTTGTAGTTCTGAAGATGGTAGTGAATTTCCCGAAACGTAAATATGTATACTTGTAAATTCAACAAATAAATCAATTGTTGTTTAATTGGAAGTTATTATTGCCAAAACAGAGAATAAAATTAATTTTCTTCCAAAATATTTAATCGATAATTATAAAACGTAAGAAAACTCAATTTATAAAACCTATTACTTAGAAATTTTACTCCTAAGAGATATCCTTTTTATTCACTGATTACAGAGAGAAGCAATCAGTTTAATGTCATTCACAGAACAAGCCTTATTTTAATCACCTTTTGTGAATTAGTTAATAAAGTTTCAACAAGAGCTTTGTAGACGAAATATCTGCTCATTATACTGGAACAAAGAAATAGCAATGAACTATAAAGACATAAAGAACGACGAAACAGTCGATTGTGCAATAGCTACTCTTCAGAGCAACAATAATATTCCTCAAGAAAAGTGTCGAAACAATTTTATTTACAATTTTAAAAATTTTAAATCTCAGCTTGTTATGACCTTGTAAGAGACTACCTTGATTGTTTTCAGTTGTTTTGTTTAATATTATTCAATGTTTTATCCAAAATGAGCTATTCTTTATGTAACAGCTTCAAAAATATCTTAAGTTAGTTACTAAATCGGGTTACTAAACATTATGTCGCACAGCACTCCAGAGCTTTCATATTCACTCTACAGAGATCAACTACTCTATAACACCAACTCCATCTATAAATACTCGGAATTTCATCTTTATGACTCGACTC